TTTAGGTTTCTATTTTTTTTTAACCACAAAACTTCATGTAAGCTCTTTCAGAGCTGCAGGGAAACAAAGTCTATGCAATTGCCTCCTTTTACAGAAGAGGAAACAGAAGCCTACAGCTCTTTCAAACCCATTCCAGTATTCTTTGCACAGTACCTCTCTTACAGCTCTTTTCTCTGTTCCATCTATTCAAATCACTAATGCAGTAAAAAAATCATCTACTTGAGTTATACTTTTAAAGTCAATTACAATGAAAAAAGTAACTGTGAATAAATCTGAGTGGTCTATAATACTGCCATTCCTCTCCTTGTCCAATGACTTGGTGCCCATATTGTTCTTTCTCTATTTTGTAAGTCAAGACCTAATAGGTAAAATCCTTAAATCCTACTAACTCCACCATCATCTGATAGCACCAATCACTCAGAATTTTTGTCTTCCTTATAAATTCAAATACTCAAATTCCCAGTCCTTTACCACTGCCCCAAACTAAGTTCACCCACAGGCAACGACTTATATTTCTAGTAAGCAATTCAAGTACAGATAAATTTTGTTGCTATGTCCAGTGTAGTAAAAAGAGCATAAGGCTTTGGAGTCTGACAGATTTGTCTTAAAATCAATGCACTCTCACTGTTAAACTTTGAGGATTTAGGCAAGTTACTTAACCTTTCTGAGGTGCATTTTTCTCACCTGTAACTATATCTCAGAGAACTGTAATATTAAACTAGATAAGCCTAGCATAAAGTAGAAGTATTCAAAACGTTATTCTAGAGGTGCCTGGGTGGCTCAGTCGGGTAAGCATCCAACTTCAGCTCAGGTCATGATCCCAGGGCTCATCAGTTCAAGCCTCGACTTGGGTTCTATGCTGACAGCTCAGAGCTGGGAGCCTGCTTCAGATTCTGTGTCTCCCTTACTCTCTGCCTCTCCCCTGGTCATCCTCTGTGTCTCTCTCTCTCTCAAATGAATAAACATCAAAAGAATTTTTTAATATTATTCTAATTTCATCTTTCACACCGTCTCAACTGAATACAAAATATTCAGGTTATTAATTACCAGTTCAACAAGTCTTACTTTTATGTTATTTTATTTTTGAGAGAGAGAGATAGAGACAGAGAGAGCGAGCAAGCAGGCAGAGGAGGGGAGGGGCATAGAGAAAGGGAGACACAGAATCTGAAGCAGGCTCCAGGCTCCGAACTGTCGGCACAGAGACCGATGCAGGGCTCGAACCCACCAACCATGAGATCATGACCTGAGCTGAAGCTGGACGCTTGACTGAGCCACCCAGGTGTCCCAACAAGTTTTACTTTTAAAGAATATTTTTATGTCTGCTTCTGTTAAATAGTAAATAGAGCAGTCATTAACAGCTGGCACCAAGTAAATAATAATTGGACACATCAGTGATGGTACATGATAAAGTGTGACAAAGCCTTGAAAATGACCAAACAGAAGATTAACAGCTTTTTTTCTTTTTAGAAATTCTTCACTTTAAAAACTCCTCTTTCCTTTACTCTTAAACTCAATGCTTCCTTAGGCCTTTGAAGTCAAATAATCAAATAAAAAGGGGTCAAAACATTGATGGCAAATGGAGCTTGACAGAGGATGAATAACCACTATTTGCTGGAGTCAGTGATTTCCATAGGAAACGAATATGGGTATATAATAATGGTGATCATCTGAACTTAAAGGGCACCTTTTGGAGAAAGAATTCTCTGTACTCTTTCTACTCTATAATTTATCACCTATCATACAGGAGAAGTAGGGATTATGCTGCTATATGGAGCAATTATCTTAATAATGTGTGAAATCATAAAATTCACATTTGCTGAGCATTTTAGTCTGACATACTTTTCCAACTAACAGTGAAGAATGGAATCCAGATATCCTGATCATCATTACAGCAATACAGAAATAAACTGCAACATTTTGACACTTTCATAAATTCTAGCTTAATTATTTTATATTTTACCTAATTACATTTTACCAAGATGCTATGACAACTCTACTGCTTATCAAGAATTGATAAGCTTTAATCTATGCTAAATAATTTTCCACAATCCTCTATTAACTCCTTCTATCATGCGTATTTTTATCTTGTCCCATTCTTTTGTGAAGTGAATTTATTTCCCTTTTCCCACCTGTACTTTTCCACCTGTACTCTGATGTGATCTCGTTTTTCTCACACACTTTAGAACTTTGCCCGTAAATTACATCCACTTTCTTATATCATCCTTTCCAAATAGTCATTTTGTAACATGATTTTTCTGACTCCTTCTGCCATTCTTAGAAAAATTAAGCTCTTATCCCTTAATTTTCTTCATACTGCTAGTATAAATGAGGAGACAAGCTGGAAGCAGTATGACTGAAGAAAGGGAGCCAGTAAATCTGGCTCTTGTACTTTCAAGCTATGAGATCCTAGTTATATTCCTTGACCATTATCTTAATCAGAGATTAAGAACCTCTGATTCTTAATCAAATAGGGAAAAACTAACAACCCATTCTATAAGGGTATAATAAGGATTAATGAGAATGAATATAAGGCACATATGATGGGCTCTTAACACAATGTATTATAATTTGTTGTAAGATGGTCTGTTTGTCAACTCAAATCCATGTTTCACAATTTTTTTACCATTTTAAAAAAAAAATAATTTATTGTCAAGTTGGTTTCCATATAACACCCAGTGCTCATCCCCCCAAGTGCCCTCCTCCATGCCCATCACCCCCCTTCCCGCCCACCCCCATCAGCCCTCAGTTTGTTCTCGGCATTCAAGAGTCTCTCATGGGTTTTTTGTTGTTTTTTTTTAACTCCAGGAAATCCAGATAGTCCTCTCCCAACTTATGGAAATCAGTGCCCATGAGGTCAATGAGGTCATAAATTGCAATTTTTGCATCTCTGAATGACCAATACCTAGTCCAGAACTTTTCATATATTAGATGATTACCATATGCTTGTTAAGAGCGAAAAGTATTAATCCACAGGTACTAAGTAGAGAAATTACCGGGTTTGCAAACTAAATTTCTTTTTTCAGCAGTAAACATTATTTTACAAAATCACATTGCTTGGGGTATTTTTCTAGCTACCCTCATCCCCCAGTATAATCTCATTAATAGCTAGAAAAAGTATACAAATGTTTATAGGCTCTTTTCTTCTGAGAAGTTCAAGGATTCTTATAGACATTATCTCATCAATCCCTAGAACATCTCTGATGTAACTGGCGATAAAAAGGAAAAAAATAGAATATGAATCCATAATCCACATGAATCCTTAAATTTATAAATTCCATTCAGCAAAACTTCCATTTAATTTTTCAATTTATGAGCTATTTAGCCAACATTTCCTTTCTAAATCCACCTATTACCTATTTATTCATTACATCTGGATATGCTGGTCTGGAGCATTATTATTTGCTCAAGAAAGCAAAATTTGTAGAAATTATTCTACAGAGTAGGTAACACATAGAACTACATAAAAAAGACAACTCTAATTTCTTAATAGAAAACTGACTGTTCAGGCTACTGAGTTTATTTCAGACTACAAGATATTTAAGAATGAGACAAATTATTTTCTTTAAATTTTAATAACCAGAGACCAGTAGCCTAATAACAGCTTTAACTTCTTTCTGCTCCCCATCATTTTGTTCTTTTGTACCCTGATAGTAGTAGCCCTTTCTGACTGCCCACCCAGGAAACATTTTCCTCCTTTCCCATATGAATGGAATCCCCTTCTGTTCAGGCAAAACTGGGCTCAGCCCCAAGGGATGAATCATGATTCACCTTAGCCAGTCAATCTTGTCACCCCTGGTCAATAATTGGTATAAAATTGCACCTATGGTTATGAAATGACCAATAAACTGAAAGAAGTTGCCAGGAATTCTTTCCTCCGTGATGAGACAGCCCCCAACCAATTTCCCTGTATTTGAGAAGTTGCCAGATTGAACTTGACACTTACAGCTGTGCCACTCTCTTGAGACAATGAGTGAAAACCAAGAAAACTTCAGAGATCCTCACTCTACAACCAGACATAAGTGAGCCTCTATCTTCAGGCTTCCTGTTATTTGAAATGCTGTTTTTGTCTAAATCACAAAGAGCCAGAAAAATCTGTTCCTTGAAGGTGAAAGCAATCCTAATTAGCACAAACAGACCAGTAAATCAGGCAAGAAGGAGCAGAGATTACTTACTGAGTGCTTACTATTACATCTGTATCTCATTTAATCTTCACAACAGCCAAATGAAAATTACTAATCTTTCATTTTTTATAAAACCTAAAGCTTAATAAAGCTATAGAGTCAAAAATAACAAAGCTAAAATTGGAATCCATACCTGACACCAAACTTTGCAATCTTTTTAAAAATATAAAACCCCCTTCCTCCTTGTTTACAGCTCTTGTTAAAAAGACAAACCAGTTAAGTTGACATGTTATAGCAAGCAAAACTTAGGGAGACTTAAGGAATATCAAGTACTCTTACAACCCTGTCATAGGATTTATAGCCCTCAATTCTATTTTTATCAAAGTTAAATGGGGAAAAAGACAAAAATATGTGTATGTGTGTATAAAAAGTTCCAGAGTGTCTAGTAGAGTGGCCAAACTCCTATAACAAAAACTAGATGGATTTTAAGTGTAATATTCAATTTTTCAAGAATTAAAAAATATGAAGTCAAGTACAAGTATTTCTTAAATCAAAAAAAATAAGTTCCTTATTTCAAACTATTCCATTAACCCAAGTATCTATCAATATAGAAACCACAAAGTTAACACTTCCTCAATTCTCATCTGTTCATGGAAAGTGATTCAGCTTAAATCTTGGCAACCAAAGAAAAATTATATAAACACTAAGATTCAACAAGGTCATTTTTTATTTAGAAATTTACTAGAACTGGGTGTTCCAAGCTATTATAATGTCATCTCAACCAGAAGTATGTTCACCTTATATTGCCTTTATTAATTTCTAATTGAGCTAAATAAAATAGGCATGCCATATTTGTGACCTGATACACACACAACTTACCTTCCCACATGCTCTGCAATGATGCCTCCTTTTGGTGAATGTGAACCTGGCTTCACATTTCATGCAATTTGGAGCCTGAGAATCTGGTACCCACACTGGAGCCACCTCACCCAGAGTAGTAAATGGCTTCCTGGCAGAAATTCCAAACTGACCAGCTCTGAGATCATTATCTGGACTTTCTGGAGCTAATGCAAGGCACGGTCTACTGGATATCCCAGACTCGTAGCTTTCTAAATGTTCCCCATTTGTATCAGCAACAGAGAGGTTTCCCAAAGACGAATTGCATACATTGGTTGCTGAGTTTTCCCCTAATTTTGCTTTCCCAAGAACATCATTTTTGTTTTTAATATTATTTCCACTATTTGTAGGAAGGTCATTTTGTAAATGGTCAGACAATGGCTTTGGAATTTGAAGTTTAAGATTAGAAGGTTGCTTGGGTCTTGCACCACCAAAAGGAACACTGATAGATTGCAGGTTTGCTACTATCTTAGGAGAAGACTGCCCAAGCACTGATGGAACTTGGCTACAGAAACTGTGTAAATAATTTTTCTTCATTAGGTCACCAGTACTGTTTAAAAGTAGACTACTCCCTTCTGTGGCTTCATTTCCTCTCTGTTCATAAATATTTGAGTAGCATTCTGATTTGCTCTCTTCTATTTCCTTTTCTTCTGTTACTGAATCTTCTTTGGAGGGTAAAGTCTTTGGAACAAAACAAACAACTGGGCTCTGCATTCCATAGGAATCACAATTAGATACAGAATTTGCTGCTGGTGTATCCACAGTGGAGAAATCACATCCTTCACTTTCATTCACACAAGTTCCTTTTAAATCTAGACCTGCTTCTGCCATTCTATCACAGTCTCCTCCACTATCACTGTAAATGTCCTCAGGCTGACTCAACTGTAGAAACTTCTCATTTTCTTTATTTATTTGGTTGTCATTCATATCATTTAGTTTAGTCAGTTTCCAATTAGTCATCTCCTGAGAATCAGAGAAATGCTCTGTCATATTAAGAAGTTCTGCAGTGCCAAGAATTTCTTCACGTTCACAACCTTCCCTTTCATCAGCTCTAACTTCACTGGGCACAAGGCAATCTGAAAACTGTTCACAATTATCATCCCTTCCAGATCCATTAGGCATGTCTGTTTTGAGAAGCAAAGGTAAACCAGATCGGACCGATTCTTCGGTTGTTCTCTCCTCTGCTGGCTCTTTTGTCATCAAAATCCCCTCACTCAGATGGGAAAAGGAGTTTGGACTCCCTAGATCCATCCTAGCAGAGCTGGTTTTGCCAGTGAGAACCTCATCTGGTGTACAGTTCTCTTGCTTTTTAGCAGCAGGATCTTCATCTGTTCCCTGGGATGAGATTACTGAATCAATTGTTAAACTTGTAATCACAGACATGGAGGGATCTCTACCTGTATTTTCATCATCGTTTGATTGTGAAGGGGAACAGACACTGGCTAGATTATCAGATGAAGTAGGACACGTATGTTTAACAGAATCCCCCACTGCACTTGGTCTATTCAACAGATCCATTTGCTTCTCTGAGTTCATATCTTTTTCAGTGGACCCATTTATACTAAAACTAAATTGATCAGTTTGTCTGTTTTCATTATCCAGTGAACAGCTAAAGGCATCCATGAGAGACTGACTATTATAATTATTACAATCCTGCAAATCGCTTTGTAATGTCCTTTTATCACAGTTATGCATGACGGCTACAACAAGAACATTCTTCTCATCTGGCAGACAAGCAAGATTTCCACATTTCTTTTCTCCCACTTCGACAGTACTGCATTGATCATCTCGATTACAGTTCCTCTTAATTAACTGATCTTCTGCAACGGCATTTTCATCAATCCACATTGTGTTAATCTCTGGATTCAGAGTATAGTCCTGTCCATTAGCACAATGGTCCTCTTCCTCTGTGGTCAGAGAAGCTGAATGAGCCAGAGAGAAGACTTTCAGTTGTGGCTGTGACTCATTAGAAACTGCAGGTTCATTCACAGTGGCCAATGCAGGGTTAAATGACAGTCGGTGAGAAGAGGGATCTAGAATCTTATTCCACTTGGTATCCAATAAAATAGGAGAAACTGTTTCATCTGAAAAAATAATTACAATAAGTTTGCTGGTGACACTGGAAAAGCTAGGACTCAGTTAATTAACTACACCTGCAAATACTCTGAAACTAATATTCCTAGGATATCTAAAAATAGAATATTCATAGAACATGGAGTTTCTAAAAACAAAAATAAAAGTTTCTAAAACAAAACAAAAAATATTCTTAAGACTATTCCTGTATTACATGTCAGTTTGGAAAAGAAGTCATTCATAAGGGAGAACAGGTATAGCCCCAAACACAACAATCTGAGAGAGCAATAAATAAATCAGTCTGAGTTGAAAAAGAATTAGTGTCAGGAAACAGTGAGAAGAAGCTAGAAAGGGCAAACTGTAAAGACCATAAAACATCAGAATATGTGGAGAATGGTCTTAAATTCTCTCAGTGTTAAATCCTGAGTTGACCAAATGTAGGCTAGCAGAGACTGGAGAGTTAGTAACATATGCTTCCTTTAAAAAAAGAAATCATTAGGGGCGCCTGGGTGGCTTAGTCGGTTAATTGTCCGACTTTCGCTTAGGTCATGATCTTGCGGTTTGTGGGTTTGAGACCCGCGTCGGGCTCTGTGCTGACTGCCAGCTCAGAGCCTGGAGCCTGTTTCAGTCTGTGACTCCCTCTCTCTGACCCTCCCCTGCTCACGCTGTCTCTCTCTCTCTCTCTCCTAGAAATAAATAAAGCATTTAAAAAAAAAAAAAAAGAAATCATTACCTCCAAGATGGTTCATGGAAATAAAAAGGAATTACTGCTTCTTATAAGAATATTTAATAATATTCAAAAAAGAATGATCAGTTATTAAAAATTTCATTATTCGACCACATACCACGTGGGCATAGTGTTAATTATCTACTGTCATCACCATCCATGTGTGATAGATTTTTCATTTAAAGAAGGAAATTAACACAAAATGAAAAATCACTTTATTTAAAATATACTTTGAAAGATACCAGGCTAGAGGTTGTAGTGTTAATGCAACTAATTTAAAAAAATTTGGGAGGCGCCTGGGTGGCTCAGCCAGTTAAGTGTCCAACTTTGGTTCAGGTCTCATAGTTACATGATTCAAGCCCCACAATGGGCTCTGTGCTGACAGTTTGGAGCCTGGAACCTTCTTTGGATCTGTGTCTCCCTCTCTCTCTGACCTTCCCCTGCTTGTGCTCTCTCCCTCTCTCAAAAATAAACATTTAAAAAAATTAAAATTTTTAATTAAAAAATTTTTTAAAAATTTTTAAATTAAAAAAAATAGTTCAAAACAAATAAACAACATCATTGCAAACAAGAATCTCGCTTCTCAAGTTCTTCTTCTAAAGGAGTAATTTTTTTATAAGCAAATGCTATATTTTTGAACTAAAAGATAATTTTCACTGATTCAACAAAAATGTATTCAAAATCAACTACATACAAAATACTCTACTAGAATCTACAGAAGTCACAAAGAGAATCATGTAATGAACTAACAGTTTTGTTAGAGTCGATGGTATTCTAGAAGTACATTATTCATGTGATTAGGTCTAGCACCAGTGTAGATATCTCATAACAAATAACTGTGATACATGGAGGGCCTAACCCAAGAAAGGATTGAGAAATTATTTGTATAAATGATTGAAACAGAGAGGAAAATACACCTTCTGCTTTGGTATGTATAAAACCCAACTAGATCCAATAAAATCTCAAATGATTAATTTTTACATTTACATGAATCCTATGGCTATGGAGTAGCTTCAGGCCATCAATGGTAAATTATGAGAAGAGCATGCTATTCCATGTATCATTCCTTCTTCGTTTTTTCCCCTAACTCCCATAATCCCATATCTTTTTTTTTAAATTTTTTTAATTTTTTTAAATTTTTTATTTTATTTCTAGGAGAGAGAGAGAGACAGCGTGAGCAGGGGAGGGTCAGAGAGAGAGGGAGTCACAGACTCTGAAACAGGCTCCAGGCTCTGAGCTGGCAGTCAGCACAGAGCCCGACGCGGGGCTCGAACCCACAAACCGCAAGATCATGACCCAAGCGAAAGTCAGACGCTTAACTGACTAAGCCACCCAGGCGCCCCTCCCATATCTTTTGAAGGCTTGCTCCATCATAGACCCAAAGCAACAAAATTGAAATTAATCTCTCTTCTCAATTACTATCAAAGAACAAGTGAATCACTGAATACAGTAAAAGTTTGGAGACCACTACTAAAATCATGGACTTCAGATGGAAAAAGATCACTTTGTAAACTTGTTACATGATATTTCTCCTTAGAAACAGAGAACACCAGGGAAGGAAGGCAGGGTAAAAGATAGAGATCTAATTATGGCTTACCCATTCAAGTCATACGCAGAGGGAAATTTAAAGAAACGTTTTCCTTAAATGAAGTAACTCTTAAGCTGACATTTTATTTAACCATTTTGGCAGTAACTTAAACATATACATCTTTTAAAATTAGGTTTAAAATGTATCTTTAGGGGCGCCTGGGTGGCTTAGTCGGTTAAGCGTCCGACTTTCGCTTAGGTCATGATCTCGCGGTTCGTGGGTTCAAGCCCTGCATCGGGCTCTGTGCTGACTGCCAGCTCAGAGCCTGGAGCCTGTTTCAGTCTGACTCCCTCTCTCTCTGACCCTCCGCTGCTCACACTGTCTCTCTCGCTCTCTCCTAGAAATAAATAAAAATTAAAAAAAATAAATAAATAAAAATAAAATAAAACGTATCTTTAGGGGAACCTGGGTGGTTTCCGACTTCAGCTCAGGTTTGTGAGTTTGAGACCGGCATCGAGCTCTGTGCTGACAGCTCAGAGCCTGGGGCCTGGTGTCTCCCTCTCCCTCTCTACCCCTCCCCTGCTCATGCTCAGTCTCTCTCTGTCTCAAAAATAAATAGACATTTAAAAAATAAATAAATAAATAATAAACATAAAATGCACCTTTATTAGTCAATCAAAAGGCAACAAGTGATTTTTCTTAGCTTTGGAAATACAATCACACATTCTAAAGCTCTTCTTGATCATAAATTGGTTGCGTAAAGAGATTTTAGACTCTAGTGTCATACTGCCTGGAAATTACTCATCCTGCCACTTATCAGCAAATTAACTTTGAGGAAGATGCTTAATTTCTGTGTCTCTCATCTGTAAAATGTAGATAAAATCTGCTTTCATGGGATTATCTTAAAAATTAAATAATATAGTCCATATAAATGCTTTAGCACAGTATCTGGCACATACTGCTTAAAAATGTTAGTTCTTCCTCTGAGTATTAAAATATAAAACTATTATCATTAAGTCACTTTATTCAGTTTTATTTTTTTTAAAGTGTTGCATCCTCTTCCAACCCCCCATTCTCCATATCATAAATATATTCAAATAGATTTACCAAAGTAAATTCTCACCTTCGTTTTGTTCAAATTCATCTAATACCTTGTCCAGGTTGTAAGCTTCTGCTTGGAAGTAATTCTCCATCGGTGAGGAAACACCACTTAAGATACTTGTTTAAACTTTCTAGAAAGTAGATCAAATTTGTATTATACTTTCAATTACATTATAGACATTACAACTGATAACAGAAATACAAATGATCGTGAGACTACTATAAACAATCATATACCCACAAATTGGAAAACCTGAAGAAAATGGATAAATTCCTAGATGAATACAAACGTACCAAGAGTGAATCATGAAGAAACAGAAAATCTGAAAACCAATTACTAATCAGGAGATTGAATCAATAATTAAAAATCACCCAAAAACGTAAAGTCCAGGACCAGTTGGCTTTACTAATGAATTCTATCAAATGTTAAAAAAAGGATTAATACCAATGTTTCCCAAACTCTTCCAAACAACAGAAGAGTGAGGAACACTTCTAAACTCATTTTACAAAGCCAGCATTACCATGATACCAAAACCAGATAAGGACACTCCAAGAAAGGAAAATTACAAAACAGTATTGATGAATATACATACAAAAATTCTAAAACAAAATATTAGCAAACCAGATACAATAATACATTAAACAGACCATATGCCATGATCCAGTGGAATTTACTCTAGGAACACAAGAATGTTTCAACATCTGTAAATCAATGTAATATACATTACAAAATGAAGGATAAATCATTTGTTCTTCTCAATAGATACAGAAAAACCATCTGACAAAATTCAATACCCATTTATGATAAAAACCCTCAATCAAGTGGGCAGAATAAGAACACACCTAATAAAAGCCATCTATGACAAGTTCAAAGTGAATATCATACTCAGCAGTAAAAACCTGAAAGAAAGCCTTTCCTCTAAAATCAAGAACGAGACAAGGATGCTCACTCTCACCACCTGTATTCAACATAATACTGGAATTTCTAGCCAGAGCAATTAGGAAGAAAAAGAAACAAAAGGCACCTGAATTAGAATAGAAGAAGTACTGTCTGTTCTTGCAGGTGACATCATATTCTATAACACCCTAAAAACTCCACACAAAACAACCTGTTAGAATAAATGAAGTCAATAATGTTACAAGATTAAAAAGTCAACACCCAAGGGGTGCCTGGCTGACTCCACAGGCAGAGTATGCACCTCTTGTTCTCTGGGTCATAAGTGCAAGCCCCATGTGTAGAGTTTACTTAAAACTTCTAGAAAACATTTTTTTAAGTCAAATTAGTTGAGCTTCTATATATTAACCCCAAAAATCAGAAAGGGAAATTAAACAAACAATATATTTACAATTGCATCAAAAAAAATAAAATTCCTAGGAATAAATTAAACCAAGGAGGTGAAAAATCTATACTCTGAAGACATGGATGAAATAATTAGAAAACACAAATAGATGGAAAGATATTCTGGGTGAGATGATTGGAAGAATTAATATTGTTAAAATGTCCATACTATCCAAACTTATAGATTCAATGCAATCCCTATCAAAATTCCAACGGCATTTTTCACAAAAATTTTTTTTAAAAATACAGTAATTTGCATAAATCCACAAAAGAGCCTGAACAGCCAAAGTAATCTTGAAAAAGAACAAAGCCAAAGCCTTCGTAATTCCTGATTTTAAGTTATATTACAAAGCTATAGTAATCAAAAGTGTATGGTGTTGGCATAAAAACTGACACATAAATCAATGAAACAGAGAAGAGAGGCCAGTGGGTCGAAGAGTGCAACCAACTTTGGCTGCGCCCCCGGTACGGGGAGTTTACACGTCCAAAAAAGCAAGGTGCAGTGCTTGGTTAAAGAAGGGACTGGAGCACCGCCACTCACCTCCCCACAACCTTCAAGACAGAACTCCCGTCTGAAGCATGGATCACACACGCCCATCCCTGCTTGAGAGCTGCCCTTCTCCCCTTTTTTTTTTCTCTTTTCTCTCATTTTTCCCCAGAATACTGAACTGATTAACTCTGGTCACCGGCTTGCTTAAACAATCACAACTAGTCCATTCTGTAGATGTAAATTCTACACCTACCAACATTTTCATCTCTTTCTCTCAGGAGTAATCAGACTATATAGTTTCTCTGGATAATACCAGCATCCTTCTCTCACCTACCCGCCACATACTACCCTTTAGCTCTTTGAAAAAAGCTTCTTATCCCTTCTGCCTAATCCCCACCCTGTCTTCTCTCTTTCTCTATGCTCTTCAACCAGCACTGCATACACACAGCTATTTAACTGTAGCTGGGAAATCCGGTTATATGCTTTAAACCGTTCTTTGTCCATCGGTTTTCTTATTTTTTCCTTTTCTTTTCTCCTTTTTGACCCTTTTATGTATTTTATACTCTCTATTATTCACCCTCCCTACGACGTCTTTTCTCTTAACTTTTTCGTTTTCCCTCTCGCTTTGCATGTTAGTTGAATTACTCTGTGTGTTTGTCTGCCCCTGCTCCCTGTGTGTTTGTCTGTCTGTTCTCTTTTCCAGGGCTACCTCAAGAAACAAGCCAGAGTACACAAGGTGGAGAGTCCCAAATATCACTACGAGTAGGAATATAAAATAACCAAGGTCCCAACAAGAGAGACCAAGGGATACCATTCAAAAAACACTCTCTGAAAGGATAGGCCCTGGACAGTCAAAGAGTCTTCATGGATACAGCATCACTCATAGGTGCAGAGAGCATAACAGGTCTTTAAAACTAACAAGAGCTGGAGAGCTAACTAAAATGATGAAACGAAAGAGCTCTCCACCAAAGAAATTCCAAGAAGAAATGACAGCAAATGAACTGCTCAAAACAGATATAAGCAACATAACTGAACAAGATTTTAGAATAATAATGGTAATTTTAATAGCTGGGCGTGAAAAAAGCATAGGGGACATCAAAGAAACTATGGCTACAGACAGAATGGAAAATAAAAATAGGCATGAAGAATTAAAAAATGCGATAAATGAGATACATCATAAATTAGAGCCTCCAATGCACAAACTGAAGAGGCAAAAAGGAGAATAAGTGATTTAGAAGACACCATTATAGAGAAACAAGAAGCTGACCAAAAAAGAGACAAACTGATC